TGCTGCACCATGTGTGACTGAGTCAGGGTAATGGTGCGATGTGCTCTGTCCCGGGTGATCTGCAAGCCAAGGTAGCTGCGCAGTTCACCCAGGTCTGTGCACGTGTGTCTCTTCTACAGCTCGGACTTCACGTGGGCGAGTCCAGGAGTGTCAGCAGTGGCAAAGACCAGGTCGTCGACGTACACGAGGATGTAGAACGGCGGCAGAGAGGTGTCGGTGCGCAGAAACAGCGACGGGTCGGCAGTAGAAGGAGCAAACCCAAGAGCCGCAAGTGTAGTCCTCAGTGTGTCGTGCCACTCACGGGGTGCCTGGCGGAGACCGTAGACTGGACGCCGGAGACTCCACTGGGTACCAGGAGGGAACGACCCAGTGAAGCCAGGTGGGCGGCGCAGCCAGATCTCCTCGTGCAGGCTGCCCTGCAAGAAAGCTGTGCTGAAGTCAAGAGAGTGAAGCTCGTAGTCGCGCTGAGCGGCTATGTGCAGCAGCACCCGAAGAGTGGTCATCTTCGAGGTAGGGGAGAAGGTCTGAAAGTAGTCAACTCCCTGCCGCTGATTGAAGCCTCGAGCCACGTAACGAGCCTTGAAGACAGGCGGAGAACCCGGCGGCCGCTTCACCCTGAAAATCCACATGCCACTGACGATGTTCGCCCCAGGTGGGGGAACCTCGTCAACGTAGGTGACTGTGGACTTCCAGGGAGCCATCTCTGTGTCCATGGCTGACTGCCACTGTGAGGAGTAGGGACCCTCGATCGCCTAAGCGTACAATTGAGGAGTCGGGATGTCTGGTTCATCAGGGTCTCCCTCACGGGCAATCAGCGTGGACACGAGATGAGGCAAAGCAGCAGCAAAACACTGGAACTCCTCCTGCCTGTCCTCAAGGACGTCCGTGCTAAGAGAACACTCACCCCCGACGGACGGAGGACATACAGACTCAGACTCAGCAACAAGACTAGAAGCGTAGTCTAGACGACAGCGAGCAGCAAAGTCGACCAGCTCAGCCACTGAGGCAGACGCAGCAATGGACTCAAAAGAGGGTCAGTGACAACAGTAGCTAGGAGGCGTGTGACAGTAGGACTGGTAGCACGAAGAGAGTCAGACCCAGGGTCAGTAAGAGTAGGAAGAGAGGACTCTAGAGGAGACGGCAACGAGACACGCAGAGGAGCAGTGGAAGGACGCAGTGCCATCTGGTGTGTGCCGGGGACCGCAGGAGGACTTGGACGTGGAGCATGACCACTAGTGCGAGCAGCACGAATAGGCGACGCAGGATGAGACGCAGGCTCACGACGCTCAGCAAGACCTCCATTAGGACCAGTGTAGGGAGAAGGAGCAGGTAGGGGGGAGGCGGGCTGTAACTGTGACCGCGACTGGACAGGCTGTGGACACGCTAAGGGAGGAGCAGGACTAGTAGAGGGCGGGAGACCAAGAACCTGCTCAAGGAGCGGAACGAAGTACGGCCTTGGCCGCGCAGCGCCTCCAGAACCAGCTGGGACAGCACCAGTACCCTTCGTGGCAGCACCAGCGCCAGTAGCACCTCCAGCTCCAACAGCGCCAACTCCAGCACCCCCAGAAGCACCAGTGCCAGCTCCAGCACCAGCGCCAGGAGAACCACCAGCGCCAACACCCCCAGCAGCTCTAGCTCCAGCAGCTCCAACTCCAGCAGCACCATCTCCAGTAGCACCTCCAGGAGGACTCCCAGTCCCAGCAGCTCCAGAACCGCTAGGACGAGCACCTCCAGGACCAGCAGCAACAGTAGTACCTCCAGCTCCAGCAGCACGGCTCCAGCGCCGGGCAAACCACTCGCGCATTTTCTGCGGAGAGAGGAGCTCCTGCCTCGACGAAGCATCGCCAGAGGCCACACGAGTAGACCCAGCACCCCCAGGCTCCGCACCCCCAGGCTCAGCACCCCCAGGCTCCGCACCTCCAGTGCTGTAAGGCACCGACTCGTCAAAGGTGACGTCCTTGGAGGACAGAACACGGCGCGAGGTGGGGTGGTAGAACTGCCAACCAGGCGCGTCAGGGGGGAAGCCAAGGAAGACGCAGGGAACAGCACGGGGGGACAGCTTGTCCGCTGACAAGTCGCGGACAAACGCACGAGATCCCCAGACCCGAAACGCAGACGCATCGCCGACCTTCCCCGTCTACCGCAAGGTAGGGGAGGTCTCTGGCAAGGAAACCCGGGGCTGAAGGTTGAGCTGATGCGCCGCGTACTGAACCGCAAACGGCCACAGAAAATGGGGAGCAGCCGCATGGATCATGGACATACGAGCGACGTCCATGACCACGCCAATGCGGCGCTCAGCAATCCCATTTTGCTGTGGAGAGGCCGGAAGCGTGAAGGTCTAGCGGATGCCCTTTGCACGACAGAAGGCTCCCAGACGGGCAGAGGAAAACTCTCCGCCTCTGTCAGAGTGCAGACGCAGAACAGGAAAGTCCGAGCCGAAACTCTCTCTAAGCTGGAGACGAGCTGCGCGGATCCAGTCGATCAACACCTCAGTGACGTCACCCTTGCTGCGCAAGGGGAACACCGTGGTGTAACGCGAGTAGTCGTCAACCACGAACAGAAAGTAACGCTCGTGACCCTGGCCACGGACGCGGGCGGGGCCCCACACGTCCATGTGAAGAGTGTGCAGGGGAGCCTCTGTTGGAGGAAACTCGGAGGAGTGAGGAGCGGCGCGCTGCTACCCCTCGACGCAGGGGACGCAGGTAGGGGTCGGCCCCGGAGGTAGGGGAGGCAGCGACCGGGGGAGACCAGAGACAAGGACACGAGAGGCCATACCTCGGAGACGAGGCAGGGAGGGGTGACCAAGGCGTTGGTGCCAAAGGAGAGTCTGGTGGGGCAGGAGACGACACGAGCGGGGCGCAGACTCAGGACCAGACCTGGACGCTCCAGCAAACACCTGACTCGACGCAGCTACCTGACCAGACACAGTAACAGGAGGAGACTCAGTGGTTAGTGTGTACTGGCTCGACCCTGGCTGACGGGTAAACGTGGCCAAGTGTCGGCCCGTCCGAGCACACGTACAGTGGGTCACCCGCTGACTCGAAGGTGTGAACTAGTCAACCCCCCGATCCTGTAGATCAGCTTCATTCACCAAGTTCGTAGAGAACGAGGGGAGGTAGAGACTTGACAGGGTGCCAAAGGGGGCTGCCGGACACGGTAAGACAGTGGAGAAGCTAGCAAGGACAGGACCCCAAGAGGGGTCCGCCAGGGAGACCGCAACCGGCCGACTAAGCGGCGTAAGCATGGTGCGGTCTTGGAAGAAGGAGCGGGAAGCACCCGAGTCAAGGGTGAAGGTGTGCAAGGCCTGAGCCGACGTAGTACCTGAGAGAGCAGACTCACCAGCACCTGGGGCAGCAGACGCACTAGCACCTGGAGTAGCAGCCTCACCAGTACCTGGGGCAGTAGACGCGCTAGCACCTAGAGCAGCAGCCTCACCAGCACCTAGAGCAGCAGCCTCAATGCCCGGGTCAGGCGGAACACACATGAAACAGTCACCCTCATCACTAGTAGGCAATGCATACATGGCAGTGAGGATAGCATCATAGTCAAGAGTTAGAATATCTACCCTGAGCCGAAGCAGCTCCACCCAGTCGGGGAGCTCAGCCGCGTCGCCAAACTCCGTACGCCAGGCGTCGCTTAGACGGGCGAAGCAGCGGGGCTCTGCGTGACCACGCGTCCCGTAAGGCTGACCAGTCCGAGCACCAGTGCGAATAACGTACGGACAACGAGCAGTTCCGCGCGACCCGTCACGCTGAGCGTACCACTCATGAAGCTGGTGGGGCGAAAGGACCGCGCGCGGACGACATTGAAGCTGCACGTGGCCACTACGAGCAGCTGCCGAACTACCGACTCCAGGACGACTCCCACTACGACCACCCCGACAACCCCAACTAGCGTACCACTCACGAAGCTGTTGAAGGGTGAGGGACTCACGCGGGCGACGCTGCAGCTGCACCTGGCCACTACAAGCAGCTGTGGAACTACTCATTCCAGGACGACTCCCACTACGGCCACCCCGACAACCCCAACTAGCGTACCACTCACGAAGCTGGTGGGGGGTGAGGGACTCACGCTGGGGACGCTGGAGCTGCATTTGGCCACGCCAGGAGCAACAGTAGCAGTAGAAAGAGCAGTAGCAGCAAGAGCAGCAGTAACAGCAGTACGGGCAGGGCAGTGCTCACCAGTGGCGAGAAGCGCAGGCGTACGACGGCGGCAGTTGTAGGGGCAGCTGCTCCAGGGGCGGCTGCTCCAGGGGCGGCTGCTGCAGGGGCGGCTGCTCCAGGGGCGACTGCTCCAGGGGCGGCTGCTGTAGTGGCGGCTGCTCCAGGGGTGGCTGCTGCAGGGGTGGCTGCTCCAGGGGCGACTGCTGCAGTGGCGGTTGCTCCAGGGGCGGCTGCAGCAGTGGCGGCTGCTCCAGGAGCGGCTGCTGCAGTGGCGGTTGCTCCAGGGGCGGCTGCTGCAGTGGCGGCTGCTCTAGGGGCGGTTGCTGCAATGGCAGCTGCGCCAGGGGCGGCTCGGCTGCTGGGCGGCTCGGCGGCTCGGCTGCTCGCTAGGGACGGCGACGGGGCCGGGTAAGGGCGGCGACGGGGCCGCTAGGGGCGGCGACCGGGCCGCGTAGGGAGGGGAGCGGCGACGGGGCCGCTAGGGGTGGCGACTGGGCCGCGTAGAGGCGGCGAAGAGGCCGTGTAGGGGCGGCGACGGGGCCGCGTAGGGAGGGAGGCGGCGACGGGGCCGCTAGGGGCAGCGACGGGGCCGCGTAGGGGCGGCGCCGGGGCCGCTAGGGGCGGCGACGGGGCGGCGTAGGGGCGGCGACGGGGCCGCGTAGGGAGGGAGGCGGCGACGGGGCCGCTAGGGGCGGCGACGGGGCCGCGTAGGGGCGGCGACGTGGCCGCGTAGGGAGGGGAGCGACGATGGGGCCGCTAGGGGCGGCGACGGGGCCGCGTAGGGGCGGCGACAAGGCCGCTTAGGGGCAGCGACGGGGCCGCGTAGGGAGGGAGGCGATGACGGGGCCGCTAGGGGTGGTGACGGGGCCGCTAGGGGCGGCAACGGGGCCGCGTAGAGGCGGGAGGCGGCGACGGGGCTGCTAGGGGCGGCGACGGGGCCGCTAGGGGTGGCGAGGGGGCCGTGTAGGGGCGGCGACGGGGCCGCGTAGGGAGGGAGGTGGCGTCGGGGCCGTTAGGGGCGGTGACGAGACCGCGTAGGGACGGCGACGACGGCGACGGGGATCGTGGACACGGGTATCTGGCCCAAACACCCGTCCTTCAGCGATAAGGGCCTCTCCTCGCAGCTGCCCGCGGGGTGGAAGGGCAAGTGCGAGCAGTTGAGCTCGTTCCGGTGCAACAAGGTGATTGGCACCAAGGCCTTCTATGCCGGCTTCCAGCAGAGCAGCGGCAAGCCCGTGTTGACCAACGACTGGCTCTCGCCGCGAGATGCGGACGGCCATGGCACGTGGTGCGCGGGGGCAGCCGCGGGGAACCCCGTGAAGGTAAAGGGCGGCGGGCAGGTGAGCGGCATGGTGCCGGCAGCGCGCATTGCGGCGTACAAGGTCTTCTGGACGGATGGCAACGGGGACATGTACGCCACGGAGCCAGACATCATCGCAGCCGTCAATCAGGGCGTGGCGGACGGTGTGGATGTGCTGTTGCTGTCTCTGGGCGGCGTGAATCCCGAGGACAACTATTTCAACGATCTCTCTTTCATGCGCGCGAACACTGCCGGCGTGTTTGTCGCCTTTGCTGGCGGAAACGCTGGGCCTCCACCAGCACCAACGGCACGGATGGCAGCACAGGCAGCAACTTCTATGGCAACGGCACGGACGGCAGCAGCAGCACCGTTCTGACCACTGACGGCGGGATCACATTCACCACTGCATCCTCCTCCGCCCCCATGGTGGCTGACTTCTCTTCCCGCGGCCCCCTGCTGCAGGCGTCCGCCACGGCCCAGCCGCCCAAGCCAGGCAACGCCATCCTGAAGCCCGACATCATCAGCCCCGGAGTCGACCTCGTAGTCGCTGCTCCCGGCAACAAACCCGGCGACCCTGGTGCCCTCGCCCGCATGTCGGGCACTTCATGGGCCACCCCTCATTTAGCCGGGCTAGCCGCTTTAATCATCCAAAAGTACCCCAACTGGACCCCGGCGCAGGTGATGTCAGCGCTGATGACGACGGCGCGGGTGACGGACACGAGCAAGAGCGCCATCAAGAGTGCGACGGGCGGGGAGGCCACCCCGTGGGAGATGGGCGCAGGCCACGTGTTCCCCCCGGCCATGCTCGACCCCGGGCTCACCTACGACGCCCGCGACCGCGACTACCAGAACTTCCTGGCCGGGCAGGACCTCAACCGCGCGAAAAAGGAGTTCCCAGGGGCGGCGCTCTCCCCTCTGGCTGTGCGCAACCTCAACCTGCCCACCATCACTCTGCCTCGCCTGCAGGGCTCCCTGCAGGTCACCCGCACCGTCACCAACGTGGGGCAGTCCCGGTCCACATACAGTGTATCTGGGAAGCCCCCGCAGGGCGTGAAGGTGACTGTGGGGCCTAGGAGCCTCACGCTGGCTCCCGGGGAGAAGGGGACCTACACGGTGACGGTCACGGTGGATACCCCCAGTAATGACTTCAAGTATGGGTTTCTAGTCTGGGCGGACGCCCAGGGCCACAGCGTGCGGTCCCCCCTCGTGGTGCAGCCCATCTCCCGCTGAGGGGTGGGAGCTGTGTGAGGCTCTTTCACGCTATGAGGTGGGTTGCTGTTTTTTTGGTATGAGCTGTGGGAGTGCGTGCTGCACTGGATACAGCCCCTTTTGATTATTGCGAGAGAAAGTGCCACTACTCGTGGCAAATGGCAGGGCGTATTGCAATGGAACAGCATGGTGGGTGCAGCATTAGCGTTCATGGGCGTGTTGAGCTGGTTATGAAATGATGGGTCAAGACCCGCGATCGCCCCTAGAGGCCCCGTCGGCCCCGCGCTCACCTCCCTAGAGGCCCGCTACGGCCCCGCGCTCGCCCTTAGAGGCCCCCGATCGGCCCCGCGCTAGCCCTTAGCGGCCCCGTACGCCCCCACGCCTGCCCTTAGAGGCCCCGATCGGCCCCGCGCTCGCCCCTAGAGGCCCTGATCGACCCCGCGCTCGCCCTTAGCGGCCCCATACGGCCCCGCGCTCGTCCCTAGAGGCCCCGATCGGCCCCGCGCTCGCCCTTAGAGGCCCCGATCGGCCCCGCGCTCGTCCCTAGAGGCCCCGATCGCCCCCCCCCCCCGCGCTCGCCCCTAGAGGCCCCAAACGGCCCCACCCAGAACGAGCCGCCCGAACCGAGCAGCCCGAACCGAGCCGCCCAGTCCGAACCGAGCCGCCCGAACCGAGCCGCCCAGCCCAAACCGAGCCGCGCTGCCCGAACCTAGCTGCGCCGCCCTTACCGAGCCGCGCCGCCCTACCTGTACCGAGCCGCCCTACCTGTCCTTGGGGTGCCCCTACTGCTTTTCCTACTGCTACTACTATTACTCTTACTACTCCTATGGCTAACCCTCCTGTGCTAGCTTTCGATACTGAGGGCCGCCCAGTGAAGTTCGAAACCTAGCTTGATGACCTACACCTCTTCCTACAGCTCACTGCCAAGGAAGACATCTCACTGTACGATCACGCCCTAGGCCACGCTACTGCTCCTGCTGCTACTGCTGACAGCACTGCCCGCTCACAGTGGCAGACTCGTGACGCCCACGCTCGCTTCGCTATTCGCAACTCTCTGCCGATAGATGAGTGCGAGCACTTTGGGCAGCACAAGACTGCGCAGGCACTGTACACTGCTGTCGTTGCCCGCTACTCCTCACTGGCCTCTGCCGCACTAGACCGTCTCTCTCTTCCCTACCTGTTCCCCGACTTAGCCTCTTTCCACACAGTCGCTGACCTCATTACACACCTCCGCACTAGTGAGGCTCGCTTTCGCGCCGCTATGCCTGATGAGTTCCTTGCCACGAACCCACCCCCGCTCTGGCTCACTCTCTACCACCTAGTCACGCGCCTCCCTGACACTCTGCGCTCAGTCAGGGACCACTTCCTAGCTCGCTGCCCCACTGAGCTCACCATTACCCTCCTCGAGAAGGAACTCCTTGCAGCTGAGGCTAGCATAGTCGCTGTAGGTGCCTCTCGTGGTGACCCCCGTACCCCGTTCTTTGAGGGGTGTTCTCCTTCCCCCCTTCTTCCCTCTGTCGCCTCTGCTGCTGCTGTCGACCTCCTTGGTGCTGAGAAGGTCGGGACTGCGTCTGCTTCGAGCGGACGCCGCAGCGGCAAGGGCAAAGGGGGCAAGGGCGGTGCCGGTGACAGCGGGGGAGGCGGTGGTGGGGGAGGTGGTGGTGGTGGGGGTGGTGGCGCGACTGAAGGGGCAGGTGGCAGCGGTGGGGGGGGTGGCGGCAGCGGCGGGGGAGGTGGCTGGGGCGGAGGAGGTGGTGGGGGTGGCGGTGGACGCGGCGGCGGCAGGGGTTGGGGTGGTCGAGGAGGTGGTGGTGGCGGTGGTGGTCGTGGAGGCACTGGCGGTGGCCAAGGCCAGCAGCACACTCCATCGCCCAAGGAGGTCCGTGAGTGGTACTCTCAGCACGGGGGGGGGGGTGGCTTTAGCTGCACGTACGTCATTCGCACTGGTGACCGCACTGGCCAGCAGTGTGGGGGACCGCACGCCACACAGCGTTGCTTCGCTCGTCTCAACGGCGCTTGGCGTGTTCAGTTCCCTCAGGCCACTGAGCTGCCCCGCTGGATTGATCTCCTGAAGAAGGGGATTGATATCTATGCTCTAGATTTTGATGCTATTCTCACTGCTATGTATGTGATGTCTACTAGTGGAGAGGGTGCTGAGTACCTGTGTGTCCCGCCCGACCCGGGCATTAGGACTAGTGCGTCTGCCGCTCCAGGTACTCGCGTGTCTGCTACCCCAGGCGCTAGTGAGGCAGCTTCTCTAGGTGCTTCTGCGTCTGCCCCCCCTGGTACTGAGTCGACTGCAACACTGCACACCTTCACACTGGACTCAGGTGCTTCTCGCTGCTTCTTTCGTGACCGCACTGCCCTTGAGCCACTTGCTCGGCCAGTTGCTGTCTCCCTCGCTGACCCCTCTGGGGGTCCGGTCATTCCGACCTCCTCCACTGTCCTTCCCTGTCCTGCGGTCCCGTTGGGCACACTGTCAGGTCTCCACCTCCCCTCGTTCTCTACGAACTTGGTGGCAGGTTGTGCAGTCCAGGACGGGGGTGTTCACCAGTTCACCCCTGCCTATGAGCGTGTGACACACTGCACGTGTGCTCGTACGGGCCGCCACTTGGCTACCTTCACCCCGCACCCGGGGTTGGACCTGTACACACTGACTACTGAGTCCCCTCAGGTTGCTGCGTCTGCGTCTGTGTCCGCGTCAGGTCAGCTGTCTGCCCCCTGCTCGTGTCGCTCTCTAGCGCACGAGACTGTCCTCTGGCACCACCGACTTGGCCACCCGTCTGTGCAGCGCCTTCGTGCCATGCACGAACGGTACCTTGTCTCTGGTCTTCCCAGGGTCCTCCCTCCCCTCCCACCCTCGCCTGCTCCTCCCTGTCTTCCCTGTGTCGAGGGGCGGCAGCGCGCCGCTCCTCACTCCTCCTCGTTTCCCCCGACGACTGCTCCTTTGCAGACGCTCCACATGGACGTGTGGGGCCCAGCCCGCGTCCGTGGTCAGGGTTAGGAGAGGTACTTCCCGATAGTTGTTAACGACTACTCGCGCTACACCACGGTCTTCCCCTTGCGCACCAAGGGTGAGGTCCCTGATGTCTTGATCCCTTGGATTCGCAGAGCCCGTCTCCAGCTCAGCAAGCGTTTCCACTCGGACTTTCCTGTCCTGCGCTTGCACTCTGACAGAGTTGGTGAGTTCTCCTCCGACCTCGTGGCAGCCTACTGTGCTGAGCATGGCATTGAGCAGTCGTTCACGCTTCCGGCCTCACCACAACAGAATGGGGTTGCGGAGCGCCGCATTGGCCTGGTCATGGAGGTCGCCCGTACCTCCTTGATCCATGCGGCTGCCCCCCACTTTCTATGGCCGTTTGCGGTCCGGTACGCTGCGCATCAGCTCAACCTCTGGCCCCGTGTCTCCTTGCCGGAGACCTTGCCCACACTGCTGTGAACGGGGGAGGTTGGCGATGCGTCGCGTTTCCGGGTCTGGGGATCTCGAGCTTTTGTCCGCGATACGTCTGCGGACAAGCTCTCCTCCCGTGCTGTTCCCTGCGTCTTCCTCGGCTTTGTCCCGGACGCGCCTGGTTGGCTGTTTTACCACGCCACCTCGCGCCGGGTCTTGCCCTCTCAGGACGTCACTTTTGACGAGTCCGTCCCCTACTACCGCCTCTTCCCCTACCGCACTGCCTCGCTCCCCCCCCCGCCTCTCTTCCTTGCACCAAGTGCTGCTCTCGTAGACCCCCTCCCCCCTCAGGGTGCCGCTCCCTCAGGTGTGTCTCAGGTAGACCCGGTTGAGCCTGTTGAGGTTGCTGTCGACTCTCATCCTGCTGGGGGTGTGGAGCCTGGGGGTGCGGAGACTGGGGGTGCTGAGCCTGGGGTTACGGAGACTGGGGGTGCTGAGCCTGGGGGTGCGGCGACTGGGAGTGCTGAGCCTGGGGGTGCGGGGCCTGGGGGTGCTGAGCCTTGGGGTGCTGAGCCTGCGGGTGCTGAGCCTGCGGGTGCTGAGCCTGGGGGTTCTGAGCCTGGGGGTGCTCAGCCGCAGCGTACGGAGTCAGGGGGTTCTGAGTCTGGAGGTGTTGGGCCTGAGGGTCCTACACCTGGAGGAGGCCTCTCCTCGGAGTAGCTGCGTGAGTGGTACTTACAGTACTGCAGCCTCCGGAGAGGTACCTCTGGAGCCAGGCGTACTACAGGGACTGGTGATGGTGCTTCTCTTCCTCGTCGGGAGCTCCCCTCCCGTGAGCGGATCCGTGAGTGGTACGAGCGGCGCTGCACGCTTCGTAGTGGTGCGCCTGGTGTCACGGACCCCGCTGCTACTGGTGCTGCGGACCCGGGCGTTGGAGCTGCTACTGGTGTTGCGGACCTGGGCGTTGGAGCTGCTGCTGGTGCTGTGGACCCGGGCGTTGGAGCTGCCGCTGGTGCTGCAGACCCGGGCGTTGGAGCTGCTGCTGGTGCTGGGAACCTGGGCGTTGGAGGTGCTGCTAGTGCTGAGGACCCGGACGTTGGAGCTGCTGCTGGTGCTACGGACCCAGGCGTTGGAGCTGCTGCTGGTGCTGCGGACCCTTGCGCTGTTGCTGCTGCTGGTGCTGTGGAGTCGAGTGCTGGAGTTGCTACTGGTACTGAGGACCTTGGCGCTGGTGTCTCTGCTGGTTCTGGAGTCGCTGCACGGCAGCGGCCGTACTTTGTTCCGCTCCTTCAGCAGGTTCTTGGTCAGCTTACTCCTCCTTGGCCTCCTCTCTCCTTGGTCCTACGCCTTACACTGATCCGACTGGAGGTCTTACTGAGCGTCGTGAGCGTGAGTCTCGTCCTGAGTCTCGCCCAGCGTCGCCTGTCCGTGCTGCTCTCACTGGTGGTCGTGTCCCTAGTCAGCGTCTTCTTGCTGTCCCGGGCACTCACCGGATGGCGCTTCGTCCTTCCACTGCTCCACAGCGTGTCCCACTGCCGTATACTCCTATGTCCTCTCTTCCTGCTGTTGCTGACCTGGAGTCTGACTCCCTTCGTGCTGCCAGTCCTACTGTCACGCGTCTCCTTGCTAC